GATACCCGACGCCCGTGACTACTTGATATGTTGTCACCATTTCTTATCTAACTGCAGTTGTCGCCGGCTCTCAAACATTTTAAGCTTGGATCTTCTGCTCAGTTAGGAGTTTATAAGCTGGGTTTGCAAGTGCAACAGCAATAAGTATTGAAGCCTGAAGTAGGAGAAAAAACGGGGTGGTTTTAGATAGTAAGTTTCTTACGTTCGTAACGAGTAATGAGATGAATTTGCCTTCAAAAAAATCTGTTGTAAAGGACCGCCATGGTCTGTTGATCCTTTGTTTTGGTGAAACGATGTCATATCAGACAAAAACACGCTTTTTAATCTAGAATCGTATTCTCGATTTTAATTTTATTTCCTACAGTCAATCGTTTCTCTCTTGAACATACGCATTACTGTGACGTCACAGATCACGTGCGCCACCTTGAGCTGGAAGCCCCAGAAATGATCAAAGAATTATGTATAGTATACATACCTAATGAACTGCTAACATACTAGATGACTTGATGTATTTTCACATTATGTACACTGTTTGTATAAGGAATCTGTATGTGAAACTGATTTAAAAAGAGTAACCATAGAGTTTCTTGCTCGTTCTTGTTCATCGGAATCTACACTTTGGAACGACAAATAGCTTCACTAAGAGGAATGACTGACAAACTGACAGTAAATCTTCAAAATATTGTTTGACGTTCAAAAGTGCCTGTAAAGGTCTAATTGAAATAAATGATTTTTGACTTTGACTTTTTGACTTTTATGGTTAGCGATCAGAGTCGCCCGTCGTGGAAATTGGATTGGGGATATACTAGTGCGTTGCCGGCTGTTTTGGAAGCTAACGGTTTGGGGATTGGCGATTTGGAGATTGGAGATGGAATTGAGGAATAAGCCTCCGGTAACCTAACTCATACAATGCAGGCTTTATTTCACGCAAAACGGTAAATTTGTCATAGTAACAAAGTATAAGAACACAGACAAAGTATTATAGTGGAGTTTTGAACATTCTTCCAAATACTCTCAACATCTGTCGCCTTCAATTTTCCAGTGTTGTGCTTTGCAAGCTATTAAAACAACACTGGATGGCAGATGCATTTTATATCTTCGTTATGAAGGTGCTTGCAACCTGTAAGCGTGCATTTTTCATCTTTTCCGCCGCCATTTGCATTTGGACTCTCGGCTTTAATATGTGGCGATAGTATTACCAGTGTTATAAAATCGAATTATGTAGTTATTTAGGTTGACAACTTGTGAGGGCGATAAAAGTTTATATGTATGACCCACGGTTTCCGAAAGGCCGATCAATGTTAAAATCATTTTAATCTCTTGTCAGGTCATCTGATTGGTTTACCGAATTATCAACAACCAATCAGATGACTTGACAAGAGATTTAACAGGAGATTAGTTAATTTTAGCATTGACAAGCCTTTCAGAAACCGGGTGTAAGTCTTCACTTTTTTAAATGACACCGTACTTAATATTATTGTTACCTAATAGATGTTTTCAATTATAAAAAACTGTCATATTTATGTTTGCGAAAAATACTAATAACACTATTCCCTATAGCAGGAACGGTCTTAAAAACTTTATTATTATTTTCCTTTCTACACATTTATTTGAATCCAGTTTCATTCTTTACTATGCTATGTTAACTCTATTTTTAAGAAATTATGTAAAAAGTGTTACATCCCAACATGTCCATTTTCTATTTTTTCAGTACTCGTTTACCAAACGGAAACAATAAAAGGCTAAAAAAATTCCAACACCGAACAATAGACGATTGATTATCTAAAAAAATTTCCTCTTTAGCTAAGAAGATATACGTAACCCCGAGTACCTACATTCAAGGAAAACGTGCATTAACATGGAATAACAAAAAAAAAGAGAAAAAAGCAACTTGTGAAATCCATTCGTCACAAAACAAAAATGAACTTGACTGTTCGTATTATGCTAATGTTAACGTGAAGGAAAACTCGACGCGAATCCTTCTCAGTTCTTTCGCAAAAATAGGGAAAATCACTCACAAACTTTTAACGTTTGATGCTATTTAAATAACTCGAAACATTGCGAATGTTTTCACCTAGAGGGATCGTTAGAATATATTCTCGTTGTAGCTTTCCATTACTTTCTAATCATATGGTAACTTCAAATAGGTGTTAATCTGCTGTTAGTGTGTTTGACTGCACGGTTGGTGCAGTGGCTGGGCAACGTGCGTGCGATTCCCGCACGGAACAACGCTTTATGTGATCTACAAATTGTTGATGTATATGTGATTTTTTTTTCTAAACGCACCTAAGGCAGAAGAAAATCTAGATATTTAAAAAAAAAACCTTCGAATCAGATTCACGTTTATTTATTTGTTAATGCAATTGCTTTACTGTGAACCGCAACGTGTGTTTTTCGTTAGGAACAACTCTTTTTTCATTCAAAAAATATTATGTCCGTGTCAGGGTGTGATGTGTGAAATTTTATGCTTGTTAACACAAATACACCCCTCAGAGGAAAATCAAGGTGTCCCAATGATAAAAAAAACGATCATAACTTCGAAAAAAATATTTGAATTAATTCTAATTAGGGATAAAACCTCTGCTTCCCAAACCTGATCATACGGCAGACGAAGCAATCAAAGTTGCCTTAAAATAAAAAAAGAAACAATCATTTATTACAAAGCCCTCGATTACGTGAAAAATGTGAAGAAAATTACGAAAATCTATTTTTAATGCCGGCTTAGTTGGCAAGTTATTTAGGTCAATATTTGAGAGGCACAAGCTCAGTAGAATGAACAAATTGATTGCGTGATGGATGACCCGGGTTCGACGCCTGAGAATTAATGGTACGAACTAATAGCATTGGGCTTAGATCGGATGAATCAGGATTTTCTCCTTATAAATCTTTTTGGAGCTGATTGGTTGTTCCTTGCTTTACTTTGCTTTTGGGGTTAAGGACACACACATCGATTTCCTTGTTGATCAAGACAGCCATTTAAGTCAGCAAGACCTTAGTGTCGGTTTTCTTTCTAATAAAGTCAAAAATAAACTGTGGGATGTATTGTTTCTAGATCCTCAAACAGTAGCATAAACTCTGTATTATTAGTAATGCCGCAGAGCTCATTCTGCGCCGTTTTTACCTCAGGCAAAAAAAAAAATCAAGTTGCTTAAGCCAATTTATTGTCATTAATAAAGTCGTAGCGAACCGGAGCTTAAGGCACCCGCTTCTCATGCATGAGTGCAGTAAATGGGTTTGAAACCTGGCAAGTACCGGAGAAGACACAAAGTCTTTTCCGCAGTTATATGTAATCTCAAAGTTTTAGAAATTTTTAGACATCACTGTCAAATTGTGAAGGAAAACATTGAAAGGAAACCTAGACTTGATTGATATCGCCAATCCGCTTTGAGCAAGCGTGGTGATAAAATGGTCAAATCTTCTACGTGTAAGAAGAGGCTTTGGGCACTTATAGGCTGATTATGATGATAAGACAATTCAACGAGTCATTTTTCTATATCACCAATACCTTCATTGCAAAACATCAACAAACTTCAGCAGTTCAGGGTTGCTTTACACTACTAGTACGAATTTCCAATATTCCATTGCTCTCTTTTTCAAAATCTCGACGATACCACCGAGCAAGCTTGATCCATAGTTGACCGGATTTCACTTCTCACTCACTTTAATAAACCTGCCAACTTTAACACAAAGACTTGTTGAGTTTGAAGGCAACAGAGCATTTTATTTTGCACTTTATTCACTCAATTCAACGTCGCCTTTCTAGATTTCCACAAAGATTGAGAACTTACAAAACAATTCTGTGATTTTTCAACTTTATAGTACCCATAAGGTTGAAACTCGATTCCAGAAATTTGACGAAAAAGGGTAGCTTGATCTGCTAGTTCCTAGATATGGCAAGTTTAAAGAAAATGAAAGGGCATGAGCTCTGTACAATTTGAAACTACATTCTCAGAACATGACTTGAAACTTTAATTTGGACGGAGAATCGCGACTTTGATCGTTTCAAAATTCTATAAAGCGTTACATTTTCCTGGTAAGTATAAAATGTTACCCGTATCAGATTTTTATTTATTTAAATGCACAAGACAAATCATAATCAAATAGATATAATATTATAAATACACTGATCTGGATCGTAACTTAACAAAACGCTTACACAAATATGTCAAGTTAAAGTTTCAAGTCTCTGTTTTCAAATTCGGTTTAGATTCGAAGCTGCAGATTTTTGGTATAAAAACTATCCTATGTCCTTTCTCGAGTTCCAAACCATGTCTGTACCAAATTTCATTAAAATCGGTTCTGTAGTTTAGGCGTGAAGCAAAGACAGACAGACAGAGTTACTTTCGCATTTATAATATTAGAATTGGTATAGATATGATAAGTTAACTATATTTCTACGTCATATTTTCCTCTGTGTAAAAAAAGGTTTCTCTCTATCCTAATAAATTGAGATGCCAAAAAAAGAAAATTCTTGTTCATGTATCTGCTCAAACTTTGTGTAATGAATCCGGGAAAAAACCTTCGAAATTCATTGTTTTCCTTCATCTCATCTTTCCCAATGGAAACCTTAATAAATGAAAAACAAATTGGGATCACTTTTTTAGGATTACCCTAAAGGAACCTATCTGTCTTTTAAACGTAATTGGCCGGTTGAGATTGGCAAATCAACCTAATAAAATACCAACATTTTCTTCTTTTCCTCGTTATTTCCAATTATTTTCGGATCATTATTGAGTTTACCAGCTGTGGTTGAAGCTTGAGTTACATTATTCAACCTTTTTTGCTCGCATTTCGTACTATTACACAATATTTAAGCGTGGGAGAGCCATGCTTCGGCACGAATGGGTCGGCTCGACCGGAGTGATACCACGGCCTCACAGAAAACCAGCGTCGAAACAACCACAGCGTTGTGTTTCGCCGTGTGAGTGACGTTACCGGAGGCCCAATCTTTCCCCTCCCCCAATCCCTCCTCAATACCTAAATCTCCAAATCCCTAATCCCTAAAAGGTCGGCAACGCACTCGTAATTCCTCCGTTGCGAGTGTCCATGGGCGGCGCTGATTGCTTACCATCAGGTAATCCGTCTGCTCGTTTGCCGACCTATTACATAAAAAAAAAGAACTAAGTTTCTCAATACTAAGAGAAAACTGTTGAAGACAAAACATCAGACTTTTTAACGTATATCACCAGTTACCTAAGGTTCGATCGATGGCTAACAGATCTATCTTTATGAGTCCTTACATTTTAAAACTATCTCATTATAATTAAATTAATCGGCAATTCTTTCCTTTCACGGGACCACACGGGTCCCTGACCTTTGTAAGGCGTACGAGGAGCCGAACCCAACTCGCAGAGGCCCGTTGAACAGTTTTAATCTAAATGTGATGGGACATCAGCCGGCAATTATCCCTGTATGCACTATAAAAGTGCTCCCAAGGACAACCCGGTTGATGCAGGACTATTCTGCACAATGGTAAAAGATTATAAGGTTATGGGTGTTGGTGGCTATGGAATGATAGAGAATCATCAATTATTATGTAGAACATATCATGAAGTAGTGCATATCCTTTTATTAATTGTGGAGTGTTATAATTTTCGAACTATTCTTCATTATTTACACCTATCAATCGAGACCTTCAATAAATAAATCTATGTATAAAGATCAAATGACAAAAAAAAACGTTTAAAAATAAACACCAATTTTTGGCATTTCTATCAAATATCTACACCACTTCTGATAAGATTAACTTAAGACTGACTCCTACTTATTGACACATTATGAAACAATGGAGTAACCTTGACAAATACCCCTTTTATTTCCTACAACGCAACAATTCGGTACAAAGTAAACAACATCCCATAACAAACATTTTACGATGATTGGCGAGGAATGTATCCGAGTATAGCCACTATTAGTATTATGTAAAGAGCTATATCAGCTTGGCTGGTTGGGCAAATATATCGTGTTTCTAATATAATATTATTGTACACCCCATTGATACTTTGTTATTGTTTCTTTAGGTTTCGGCGTAGTTGTGGGAAGGACAAAGAGAGTTTGTCACAAAGAACAGTGACAAAAAAGACCAGATTGTTTTGAACCTACATATACATATGTATGACTGTAAAAAATACGTTCAACATGCTAAAATCTTAGGTTTTAAGTGTGGGAGACCCATACTTCGGCACTAATACGCTTGCTCAGCACAAAACCGACGTGAAACAACGTTTGCTTTGTGTTTCGTCGTGAGAGTGAGATCCAATCTTTCCCCATCCCTGACTCTCAAATTCTCATTCTTCCAATGACTATCCTTTAAAAGAATGCGCTTGTAACTTGTTGCAGGTTTCCGCCATATCACGTCAGAAAATACATCAAAACTTTACGGCTTAGTTGTTGTTATTTAGATAAAACTTCAGGACTATAATGAATAGTTTGACACCTATGGGTAGCTTGGTTAAAATTATCAAAATATACCTAAAAATTAAAAGAAGGTTCTAGTAATAAACATTGTAATTACTTAATATGTAAATTAATCTTTTAAAAGCGTTTCACCACAAAAATTACTTTATTTACGAAGCCAAACACAAATCGACCTTCACACACAAAGAAAAACCCCTAAATAGATTTGTATGAAAATCTTCAAAGCGAATACAAACTCCGTACCACTGAATATCAATTGGTGGCGGCACGGGAAAGCATTCAACATGCATAATTTATATCTAATTTTAGAAATTGGGTTAATATGCCGTCATGAACTGTTTCCATAAATAGACAAACAGAAAGGAGTATCAATGCTTTTGTTTGAAAACTGATATACCCACACAATCACGGGATTTGAGGATTTCGTACGCCCCCGAACGCTTTTTGTTTGTTTTGATAGGTACAATGTTAAATGATTTCTCCCACTCTGAGCCCTCCCATGATGAGTTCTGTCAGACTCTTACTGACTAGAAAACTCCCGTTCCTTCTGCTGCTCCCACCCGGGGCCGTGGTTCATAATTAGGCTTGCACCCGTAACCTCAGCAACTCCCTAAGGAGTTGCGGGGTAAGCGCAATGAGGCACCGCGACCTCGGCCCAGAGCAGGAGAAGGAACAGGGGGGTTTTAAGTTAGTAAGAGTCTGACTCCCTCCCGCCCGGCCCTGGGCGGGAGAAGTCATTTGAGGATTTTCCTCTCACAAAAAAAGCCACTCCCTAAGGAAACGCACTTGAACTGATATTTATAAGGAATGCCGATGGATAAACTCGTACGCAGCCTTGTCCCATAAAAGACGAAAACAAACAGGTTCCTATCATTATAAGACAGTGTTGTCCTTTTGTCAGCTGACTGTATCTCATGAAATGTAATAATAAGTAACAGTACAATGCCACTATGTTGTGCTGTTTCATGCGCTCCTCACCTTCAATTTGGCTCAGCTCGTGATGTTTTATAGATTGACTTCCGCGATAAATAGACCATCCAACAAAAAGAGAGTTAGTTATCCAATACGAACCAGTAGTTCCAGAGATTAACACATCCAAACAAACCAACTAACTCTTCAGCTTCATTTTTCATATAAAGTATAGACTTCTGTTACTTATAAACTCACACTTAAACAAACTGAGAGTAGGTACTCAAACTTCCACCATTTCCTCAAGCTCAAAGGTCTTAAAGAAGTATGTCCTAAAGAGGAGTCTATGATTCTATTCTGTTCTAGTTCTATGCCTCTCTTACCTGCAGGAGTGAGTGGTCTAGCTCTAGGAGTAACTGGGGGTGGTTGCTGTGCGTTGTGGTTATCATCACGAGGGGGGCTGGCCACTGCACCCTCGGAGTTATTGTTCACTGGAGGACCTGGACCTTCGCCGGCACCAGCCTCGATTTGCAGCTGGAAAAGGAAGGATAAGATGACGTTAAAAGTGGCATTCTATAATATAATTTCCCCGTCACCTCGACGCTCACTTCACACTCAAACAAGATTCAAAATCAAACAAATTTTATAGAATCTACGTGAAGCTATTGCAAAAATATAGTTAATTAGAGTATTTTTAAACCACTCGACATTACATTTCGATTAGTATTTATAAAACATGATCTTTATGAAAAACATTGTATTAAAATCAACGAGATTACTTAAAAAGCTATTTTTGTAAGCAACAAAACATATGCACTCAAGTAAGTATATAAGTACTGAGAGCGCATTTTTCGAGAAGAGAAAATCCGACCAATGACTAATTCTACCCTGGATGGAGTACCAGACTCTTACTTCGCTTTAAGTGAACTGTTATGGTATGGTATTTAATTTCTAATGAAAATAAAGTTCTTTAAACCTAAACCTACTGACTAAAAACTAGTCCATTCACTCTACTTCTGCTCACATGGACTACATTATCATTTCACACATAAATCCGACCGACAATTATATTAAATATCTAAGTATTATGTACTTAAACATTTTTTATAAAACCAACCAATTTCAATTTTGCAACCGGTCCCCATGTAACAAAGCTATTTATGACCCAATTAATCCCAGTACTTAGTAAGGACGAGACGATAATAATATGTCGCTACATGCTAGCGGCCGTTTCCGGGGGCCCATTAATTGAGTTTGCCAGTCACCCCCTGCCTGTTTATCCGTATGTATCAATATTGGTCAGGGGCAGGGGCCATAGTATTTCCATAGTTTTCATCCACTAGTCCATAGCAACCCATACCCATAACCTTATAAATTTTTACCACATTTCGCAATAGTCCTCCATCAACCGGGGATTGTCCTTGGGTGCACTTTCATAGTGCATACAGGGATAACTGCCGGCTGATGTCCCATTTCACTTATATTAAAGTTGTTCAACGGGCCTCTGCGAGTTGGCTTCGGCCCCTCGTACGCCTTCCAAAAGTCCGGGACCCTGTGGTCCCGTGCGTGGAAAGGAACATACAAAATAATAATAATAATAAATCTTTATTTGGTACCAAAAGAAATCGTTAACAAATTTTAGTGATTGGAGCCTCCTTTTAAGCAAATAATGCCTGTATTAGGAGACACCGCTCTTCCATATCGATACATTTAAAAGTCACCTAAATTATCCTTAATTTTTAAGTTTTTAAGTTTTAAGCATGCATTTTATAACTATGTGATTGTGTGTGTGTGTGTGTGTGTGTGTGTGTGTGTGTGTGTGTGTGTGTGTGTGTGTGTGTGTGTGTGTGTGAGTGCATGTGCGTGTGTGTGTGTGAGAGTGTCTGGTGTGTGTGTGAGTGTGTGTGTGTGTGAGTGTGCGTGCGTGTGTGTAAGTGTGGGTAATTGTGGATGTGGGCTCTACTGCGTGTGTGTGCTTCTTTATTTTATGTGCTCAAGGAGTGATTCAGTCTCTTCATAGGTAAGGTTTTTTATCCAATTTACCAATGTTATTTTACTTTCTTTTAATGTTTTTGTGTATATGTATATCTGTTTATTTATGCGATTATATAATACTGAAGAACGTCGGTTATATTGCATGGCAGCAAGTCTAGTTTTTGTTTGTGGGACTAGTGCAATTATGTCTTTTCTTCTTTTTTTTAATATGTTTAAATCATATGTTAAGGTCTTATGTTTTTTTAGAGTAATAAAAACAATGTATAATTTCCTTACTGACAGTAGTCCACTTATCTGGTAAAGATTTTCTGTTGGATGTCTTTTTTTTTTAAAATACATGATTTTAATTAATGCTCGTTGTCCTCGTTCAATTTCTATAAATTTTGATTTTGCTGCACCCCCCCAAACAGGTATACAGTACCCCAATACTGATTGCGCAATTGCAATATAAATTTCATTTAATATGTTTCTTGGTGGACCTGTATTTCTATAAGTGTGTGTAGGCACGACATATCGCAAGGTTTTAAAAAACCAACCTAGTTTGTTAAGTCTTCCGTTAACATGATCCAGATGAGGGTACCAAGAAAGCCTATGGTCAATTATGACTCCTAAATATTTTGTCTGTGTGACTTTATTGATTGTGGGACACCTACAATTGTCATGCAGGGCTTTATCACAAGAATGTACTGCAATGGTAAAGTCTTCCTTTGGTTGCGAGCGATTGGAGATGGCAAAGCAAATGTAGTTAGTCTTAGACGTGTTTAAGGTGAGTAAGTTGACATTAAGCCAGTTAGCAATTCGGGCCATTCCCATCTCAGTGTGGAGTTTAACTTCCGTCCAGCTGTTCCCATAGAAGACAACTGCGGTGTCATCGGCGTAAGCAAATGTTTTAGAGTTTGGGACTTTTAAGTTGCAGAGATCATTTAGGTATATTAAGAAGAGGGTAGGTCCCAAAACGCTTCCCTGGGGTACGCCGAATGACACATCAGCGTCTTCGCTGGTAAATTGATCTATTTTCACTCTTTGTCGCCTGTTTGTAAGGTAGTCTTTAAAGAAATTAAGAGGGACTCCTCTTACTCCTACGTTTTCTAACTTGTTCACAAGAGTTGGGACAGAGACGGTATCAAATGCCTTTTTAAGGTCTAGGAACACAGTGAGGCATTTGCTCCCCTTATCTAGATGTTCTGTCACTAATGAACTAAGAGCGGTCACAGCGTCTTCCGTCGACACTCCTTGCCTAAAGCCAAACTGATTAGACGATATTATTTGAAATTTATTTAAGTAATCTTTAAGTCTGTTATTAGCTATTTTTTCTATTATTTTTGAGATGGCGGGCAGAACTGAGATCGGTCTGTAGTTGTTGACGTCATCTCTGTCCCCACCCTTGTGAACAGGCGTTATAATTGATTGCTTTAAAGCTCCTGGAAAAACTCCGCTTTGAAAACAGATGTTAATGAGATGGGAGATGATTGGGGCGATCTCCCCTTTAATATACTTTAGGTATTTAGTGGATATATTATCCCAGCCTGGGGCACTTTCCGATTTCAGGCTCATTAGGGTTTGTTCTACTTCTATGGGATTAGTCTCCAATAGCGCAAAGGAGTTACATTGTGTATGTGGTAAATAACCGGTAGTAAGCGTATTAGATGGCCTAGGTTGAATATTGTGGGCTAATTGTTTGCCGACGTTTGCAAAGTAATTATTTACAAAGTTTACTGAATCACTTGGAGATGTCAAAATATTTAATAATTCTGTGCTTTGATTTTTCATTTTATTTGTATGAGTTATTGATTTTATGTTATTCCAGAGTTGTTTTGTGTTTGTTACCGATTTAGCAAGCAATTCTCTTTCATATTGTCTTTTTAGTTTTTTGATTAGGTAATTACAGTAATTTCTATAACGACGATAGGTAATTTTTAAGATTTCATTGTATGGATCTGCCCTCAGGTTTTTTTGTAGTCTATTTCGGTTTTTTATACATTTTAGTATTCCCGGGGTGATCCAAGGTTTGATTATACGTTTACTGTTAGGTACCTGTTTAAAAATTACAAACAATGAAAGAAACCTTAAGGTGCCTACCTACCTGCAGACCCCTAGCTGTTTCCATGGCTATATTTAGTTAAACGTCAGGCGAAACTCTCATTACCATGGTCACGACAGTTTTAAAGAAAATGTCGTCAATATAATAGGTAACCGTTCTTTTTTTAAATGTGTTACGATGTACAAATCTTTTTGCAACAAAATGGGGACTAGAAAATAAAAAAGTTTTTTGACATTTACAACAAAAACCAATAAAAAATAAGTACATTCATTAGTTTCTCTCGCTGTACCTCATGCACTCCAATAAAATTTCCCTACATCCAACTGCAAACAAATCAATGGCTGGATTAGAACTAATCACCTGATGGCAAGCACTTGGTGCTGCCCATGTACACCCATAATACCAGAGAAATAACATTACCTATATTACATTTTTTAGGCTGTGGTACTGGTCAAGCCGACCTACTCAAAGCACAGCTGTTCTATCCCTATAATTCTATGCTTATAAGTTTAACATAATCTCTGACCTTGATGCAAAAAATACAACGAATATAATATATTCTCAATTATTTTGCACTAACAATGGGTAATCAAGTTCATGAGTTGGCATCCGTGTATTACACATAAATCTGTCAAATAGCACACTACTGAGCGCCATCTTCAGATCTTTAGATCTAACCAGTTTCCACCTAGCAAGGACCTGGTTTACCAAAGCCTTGTCCAGAACAGGAAATTTTAGTGTTCCCTACGAGTGAATTGGTTACGACCCGAGGAAAATGATATAGAGCTCAAAGTTACTTAAACTTTGAACATAAATTATACTTTGTTTAACTTCTATTAAAAACCCTAAAGAGGTTTTAAAACATCTATACTATGGTCGTAATTAAACGGCCTTCCATTTTCGTATTCAAGTATTTTTCTTTGGTATAACTTAATTACTTTCAGGACTTAATTATAAATATACTTAATTAAACTTCAATGGTTTCAGAGAGTTAGTTGAAACGTTTGTAATTATTCTACTTTATAATTTTCCGTGTAAAACAAGGGTTCAAATGGTAGCGACGGTTTATGTAATAATTTCCTAACTGAATCAAGTTTTGTGCCTCTTTCTGTTACAAAAAATATTTTATAAATAGAACGATGAAAACGGTTCCATGAATTTCTTAAAAGTTGTCGACAAAGAATTGATTTAAACGTGAATGGTTGCGTTCCATAAAACATATACATATATAATACAACCTTTTTTCAAAACCATAAATTAAATAAACTTTCAATCTAAATTGGAATGTGAAAACTAAAGCTTCTACAATGGATTTGCTAAACTATCTATCTTTGCTTATCCTGCTAATATTATCTACAAATGTGAAAGTTTTTAAATATGGACGGATGTTTGTTACTCTGTCACGTAAAAACAGCAAACGGATTTGAATGATACTTGGCATAGAGATAGATTATAGTCTAGAATTATACATATGCTTTTTAATCGAGTACTGCAGGAG